GGGTTCAGGGTTTAGGGGTCCGTAAAAACAAGAACTTCCAACCCTCCGGATTCCGGATTTAGGGGCGAAGCGGAGGCGATCTTCTGGGAGTGTAGGAAGGGGTTCAGCACCCTTGTGGTTTGGACATGCTTGTAAGCTCTACATCCGCGACCCTGCCCGAACCCAGAAACCCCCAAACCCCTGAAACGCACACCCCCTGGAACCTTCGAAAGGAGCCAAAAACCAGCAGCAAAACACAAAGCAGAACTTCAGATCTCTAGGAGCCCGGCGGGATGTTCGTTGGCGAGCTTTGTCGCCGTTGGACTGGCAAGTTAGAGGGTTTAGGGTTTGGGGCTTNNGGCTTAAGGCTTTAGGGTTTAGGGCTCAGGGTAATTTTGGTGTTTAGGGTCGGGCTCCTTGGAGGATACCTTAAAGGGATTTGGGTTGTTAAATTTATACGGGCCTTTCCCGCTCTCGTGCCGCAAGGAGGGGGCTCCTGCAACTCAGCGTTTCCTTTGAGATACCCGTTTGACACCCGGCCCACAACCCCACCCGATCCCCACAGCTCCCGGGAACCAACGCCGCCTTGGGCGCGGTGGCGGCGCAAGGGCCGTCCTGGTGGTCAGCAGAATAATAAACTATAAGACGGTTATGATATTATAACACTATTGAAGCTAATACATATGCTGCTATACAGTTGGAACACTGTACTGTAATTCCATAATGCTATAGTGCTGTAACACACTATACAGGCTAGGGTGGGGGCTTTAAAACAACTTTCCGGTTTGGGTTTTGGTGTTACGGATTTGGGATGTTCCTTTGGATTTCGGACGCTGGCTTAGCGGTTCAGCGCCGGCTTCAGACTAGTAGGCCTTTAAGGGTTTAGTTTAGGGTATAGGCTGGTAGAGGGTTTCGTTTTTTGAAGACCTTTTTCCTGGGCAGTCCCTCCAAGACAGCCCGTTTAAGCACGTCTGGTTGCACAAGCCATTGCAGGGTTTGGGGCGAAGGGGGTTTAGGGTTTGGGAGTGGGCGGTTAAACGATGCGGCTATGGGCTGGCCTGGACTTTCATCCAACACCAAACCGCTGCTGTTTCCGGTGGGAGTCCGCGGTGGTTGTAGCTTTCAAAGAGAAAACCCCCCCCCCCCTGAAGGCCTCTTCGTGGGCGGCTCCTCCTCTGCCGTCGCCCTGCCAAATGGTGCTTGGGACTTGATTCCTTCGGGGGGTTGGTGGTTGGCTTTGGGGGCTTAGGTTTTTGACCACCGTGCTTGGAGGAGGTCAGATTTTTCGGGGCCGAGAAGCCAACTCTATGTCTCCCACATACCATCTCAATCCACATGCTGCTGAAATCCCAACATAGCTATAAACTTGGTGATCGAATTCGCAAGCCAAACAGAGACACTGACAAACAAAAACAAGCAAGCATGCCAGCACGCAGGCAAACATCCATGCATGCAATCATTGGTCACCTCTAGGCTACAGTACCTGATTTACATGCAAAAAAATACAACAATTCGCTCTTGCATAGAATCGAAGTTTGAGACTAGAATCCCGCTGTTTCACATCTCTTTGGTCAGCGCAAGACAGCATGGCCGATTTACGGTGGTCCCGGCAAACTTAACAGGGGTCGGCGTGGGGAAAAAACACACGAGCGGCGCAGATGTCTGTTGTAGCCTTTGGGATCGGCGGCGTGTGCCAGTGCGGTTTCGTCGACTGCTGTTGCAGCATCCAGGGCTTTCGCTTTTGCCTGCCACTTGTTCTGCTCGCAAACATTGATGCCCAGCAGAGTCTTTGCATGCATGACGCTGCAAAGACTTCTGCCTGGCGTCAATCTGGCATCTTCCTGTGCCCTGTGCGAATGTACACAAGCCCAACCGGTTCAACTTTTGACAACAAGTTGAACTCCCTTATTAATTCGTTGTCATCGGACCTGAACCGCAAAGAAAAAGAAGCAAGCAGCGGCGGCGTCAGCAAGCACTCACTGCAATCAACACACACACAACCTGCGAATCAGCTGCCAGAGCTTATACGGGTATCGTAAGGGTAAGCTAAGAGCCAATGAGGCCCACGGTACCCTATGGTACCCCCAAAGGACCCTTGGCTGGCGCCTCTGCTGGTTGCTTCTCCTTCCCGGCTCTCCCTTCCATCCATCCACCCATCCATCCCATGGACAGGCATGCTACTAGCAACCGCAATCGAAGAGGTTGAACAGTAGCAATAGTGCACGCGGGGGAAAGCTGCTCTTGGTGCCGGCTCCTGGACTATGGGTGGTTCTCGCAGCGAAGAGCCGCACAAACAATGTGCTCGCACACCTTCCTACTCTCATCCTGTGCCCAAAACCCTAAACCCTAAACCCAGGAACCCTCTCCATTTTTTCGCTAGTCTGCTGCTACACCGGCCTAGGCTTCGGTGGAGAGTAGGGCGTGGTCGGCGTCAGCGGCGTCTTGCAGGGCATCGTGCGTCCAAGGGGAGCTTTGGGCTTCCTTTCAGGGCTCCATCGTGGGTTTGGGGTTCGAGGTCTAAGGCTTTAGGGTTGGAGACTCTTAAGGCTTTGAGCAAAACAACAGACTAGCTCCGGCAGAGACCTGCGAAATAAACAGAAGATTCACTGCAGCGCCACAGCTGCACAGCAATTTCCGAATCCTTGGGGCCCCCATGGGAAAGTCTCGGCAGATCTCGGCAGACTGAAACCGCTGCACATGCACTCGAAGCCTTGAAGGAAGGAAGCTGCTACCCTGATCGCGAGATCTCGGCCTCCGCCGCTTGCCCACCAACTCCCTTCCTGACTGGATGGGGATCTACAGGGCTACAGGGATTACTTTCAGGGGATCTATGGATCTATTGGGCTATAGGGATTACTTTCAGGGGATCTATAGGGATTACGGACTATGAGGGTCTTAAGGGTTCCACGTGGGGTCCCGGGGTCCGTGAGGGCCAAGCGAGATTTCGAAGGGTCTCGGGAGCGTTTCACGAACAGGTATTCCCCAAGCTACAGTAAGCATCCTTTTACAGTAACCCCTGCAGAGTACATAACACTTTAACATGGCCTTCTGTAACATCTTTTGAAGAAACCCTTCATCTTAGAAATCCCCAACCAGAGGGGCGCCTCTTCGGCGCTGGCGCCTCTTTGGGCGAACGGCGAGTGGGGCTTGCAGGGCTCGTATATGGTTCCTTTAAGGGGGTTTTTAGGGGTTCCGTGAAGGGGAGTATGGTTTTGCGTTGGGGCTGCATGTTTTGCATGGGGTCGAGGTTCTCTAGGGTTTCCAGGTTGGCTTCAGGGTGAAGGGTGAGGGCTTCAGGGCTTTATTCAGGGTTTTGAAGTCAAGCTTGAAGGCTCGGCTTTCGCGGCTTAGGACACGGAGCTGCGTTGCTTGTCTTCCCTGTGCCAGCATCGGATTCCACGTCGCGTCCTGGACGGGCCCTTGAAGGCGTAAAGAATCCTACATGCCGAAAACTAAACTGACTAAACCAAGTTCCAAACGACAACAAGTGCTCGCTTCTCGCTTGGGATGTCTGGCCGGCATCCGAAACGAAACACCCAAGACAACCCAAAACCAAAACAACTCAAGGGAAAAACATCAAATGAGTGCACGTCATCCTGAAACTTTCTTCAATGGGATCCACGAAAGGAACCTTGACTCACATCAACCAAGAACCCGAACCGAAAAACCCATACACTCGTAGCCTCGAAGACCCAGCCCCTGGCCCCCAGTTCTGGGTTTAGGGCTCCTCCCACCAACTCCCCACCTCTCCACCACCGGCCGCACCCCGCAGCTTCGCCCAGCGCGCCGCCGCCGCGGCCGCCGCGCGGGCGGCGGGGCTGCTGCCCTGTCTCAGGGCTCGAGAAGGCTTCGCAACGGAGCCCTGAAGCACGAAGTCCCATAGACCCTGAACCTCTCATAGCCGCAGCCGAAACTTTCATACCCGTAAGTGGACTTTACGAATGCCTTGTACCCTATGAGCCCTGCATCCGGCCATCCCCGTGCCGTTCGGCTGCGGAAAGATCAAAGAAACCGATCATACATCTTATCTCAGGACTGTATTTTAAAAACTGCATTTATCAAAACTAGAACGATCACCCCAAATCCGAAGCCCCACTCCCTCGTTACCCTCCTCCTCTCGGCTCTTCGTTTCACCTTGCCAGCGGCAGGTCCTCTACGCCCCCCGGCTCTCAGGAACAACGCAGTGACGAGGAGGTCTCTGGCCCAGGCTCGGTGCTGGGCTCAGAAGAAGCCACATGGTAGTAGTTCGAAGAATAAGAGTTACAGTAAGACGAAGAATAGGAACAATGGTAACAATGCTGTTCATCATTTCAATAACAAATCTAGCAACAATAGTCATCATCATCATATCATAACCGTAATAATGAGCATAATACGAAAAATAGTGACAAGATTAGTATAACAATGATGATAACAATAATCCTAATACCAAAAGTAGTAACGAGAAGAAGAAGAACAACAAGAATAGTAATAACAATAATAACAGGACTAATAATCATAATAACTATAATGATAAAAAATAGTAACGAAAATAACAACAACAATAACAACAACAATAATGATAATCATAGTAAGAATAACAATAATAAAAAGATAACAGAAGTAATAACAATAATAATATCAATAGTAGCAATAATAATAAATAATAAAACAAAAATAATAGCGATAATGATACTAATGATAGGAACAAGAGCAATACAGGCAGTATGAACGGCAATAGCACCTAACAGTAACAGATGCCATTCTTCCTGAGAGCCCGGGGGCACAGTATGTACAAGCGACCCCTCGGAGCTATGGCGCCCCGGGTTTCCAAGTGCCGAAGCCGCAGCTTTGGGCTTTGGAAGCGTCTCAGGGCATCTTAGAGCTTTAGGGACCTTCGGGCTTTAGGCGTTTTGGTGGGTTTTCGAGGAGTTTAGGGATCTTAGGGGTTTTAGGGCATTAGAGGTTTCGGGGTTTGAGGATTTTAGGGTACCTAGCAAAGGGCTGGCTGTGTGAGGGTGAGCTCTGCAGGAATCCGCAGGCTCTGAACTTAAAACGGTATTTTGCTGGTAACCAACTACCTAACGATGATCACAATACAGGTGGCATTGGTCCCAGACAAGTATGATAATGCTGCGATCATGATTTTCGCGACCACAATGAGGAACAAAACGCCGGCTAGACAAAGGGTGAGGAGCAATAACACATAGAGGCCAGGGGGAACTTAAAATGATGAAGCCTCTTCCGGAGCGATCCCGCCTTGGTACTAGAAGATCCCGGAATGCCCGAAAGCCCTAAAGCATTGGAGGGCTGGGCCCCATGAAGTTCAGGACTTTGGGGAGGTGCCGGGGCGGGGAGGTGACTTCGACACGCGCAAGGCGTTCTGCGTGAGGCGTCCCTGGCTGCACACTTGGGCAGCCAGTTCGGGGCGCCAGATTTTCGGGCGCCCCATCCGGGGGATTTCGCAGCCTAGGCCTGAAGCTGCCCTGCAGCAAGGGAGGCCCTCCACATGCCGAGCCTGCAGGAGCTGCCGGTTTCCGGGCTCTCGAATTCGATCGGGGCTCGGGCTTGGGCTTACTTGCTTTGGTTTGGTTCATGTTCAGGGCTTCGGGCATAGACCATGGAGGGTGTGTTTGGGGATCTTGGTCGGAACGGTCTGGGGGAGTTCGGCAAAGGTGCCGATCTTGTCGCAGAGCACGGAGCATGTTTGCAAGACGGATCAAGCGATCTCGGACCACCACACCCCAGTGCAGCAGCGTTGACGACGACGATTAGCTGTCACAACCAAAAGACCCGTCACTGCCCCTGCCGCTGCCGCTGACCCCCCACCGCCGCCGCAGCGAACAATGCCTCATTGCTTAGAGTCGTGATCTCGGTGTGAACACTCTGAGAGCAAGGACCCAGCCTGAACTTCTCCTGGCCCAAGAACAGGAGCTGCGAACCTGGCGCTTCGGCCGGATCTTCTTCTGGAAGGTTTAGGGCGTAGTTCGAAGCCTCTCTCTCACCAGGTCGGATCGTAACCCCAAACTTCTGGAACACAAGCTGACCCTGAACCCAGAATCTAGACACGCCTCCCGACCTGCAACGCCTCGAAGCCTCAAACTCAAGATATCCCCCAAATAACGTGCCTCCAGCACCAGCCGCACACACATGACGAGGCTGCCTGGATGCTCTGGTATAACGGTGCATCACATGGGTTTTTGAGCAAAGCTACATTATGGCTCCCGCTTAAGGCAAGGGTACGCTTTAGGGCTGGAAGGTCTTGGGGCAACGAAGCCTCGTGGAATGTGCCAACCCTGACGCCCGAAACCCTTTCAACCCTCTTGAGCCCCTGAAGCCCCTTCTAGAGTCATGTTTACAACCAAAAACCGATGCAGATCGATGCTGAGAACACCACGCCGGCCATCGAGGGAGCCACATGTCGATCAGCTGCCCCTCTTGCCTTGGCTTTTCAAAGAATGTGGGGAATCCTCGCAGGTGAAAGGCCGAACCAAGGGTTTAGAACCGAGAAAACTCCACAGAAGCCGGGCCGGCGAGTCGAGAAGCTATTCCTGGGCTCTCAGGTTCAGGGCCTTCGGGGTGTTAGGGGTGGGATGTAGGGGTTTTGGGAATAATCCTTTTCACTGGGCAGATTTGGGCAAGTCTTACGGCTAGAGAATACATCCAAACTCACGGCTACAAGTCAACCCATGCCCGGCACGAAGCTCTGAGCCTTGACGCAAGGATCCTCTGACGATTTGGCCTTCAAACCATGATGTAAAGACCGCTGACCCAAAAAACACTTATTCAAGTCCCTTCTAGAACCACTGAACACTCGAAGTCTAAACCCGAAAACCTCAATCAGAGATCCGTCTGGATTCCTGGAACCCCTTCTTGAACTCCCCCCCCCCACCCACCCAAAGCCCCTTACAGAACCCCCTTCTAGAACTCTCAACCCCAAAAGGAAGGGAACCCCCGTGACCCTCTGCGAGGGCCCCTGGCAGGTCGAAGGCAGCCAGCCGGCCGCTGGTCGAGAGGACCTCAGCAGCTCCCCGAGCTTGCATCTGGGCTTCAGGCTTACGGGTTTTTTCTTGGGGGGTTGGGGTTGGGGTTGGGGTTCAGGGTCTGGGGTCTAAGGCTCCGGGGCAAAGATATGGAGTTCAAGGTGGCGAGAAGTTTCAGAGTCTCGCAGTAGAAGGCTTCCAGTGCCCCGACGACGGATGGGCCGAGGGTCGCAAGGCGTGCAGCAGTTAGGGTCTGGGGTTTAGGGTCGATATCAATTTCTATCATGCTGTTGAGACGACTCTGTCAGACAACTCGAAAGCTCACAAATCTAAACCCTCCCAGCCCTGGTGCTACAAAGCTGTTTCTTCTGGAGGCATGCAGGGCAATGTGAACCCCCTGGAACCAGCTTGAAAGCTGTACTTCCAATAGAGTTGCACCTAAACGCAGTCAGGGAGACCTCGGAAAGGACAATCCTGTGCCAATACCAAGCATCAAAGCTCTACGTATCCCATCAACACAGTGTTTCTCATAGTAATATGAACAATGGGACAAGAAGATGATGAAGATACAGTTATAGTCGTAGGTGGAGCTGTCGTCACATAAGCTGTACGTACAACTGTACTGGCGCGAATGGTTCAAAACAACTTCCAGAAGCACCAGCCGCGACAATGTTCCCAAGGGCCCTGCCCAAAGTCTGCCGGTCGCCTGGTATCCAGGAGCTTTGCTCCCTTGAAATGTGCTGTAAGACCTCCATGCCATGTCTCCATCTCCGTCATCGCCCGGAAATAGGAAGAAAAAAAGGCTTTTGGAGGCAGTTGGTCGTACTCTGAACTGTAAAGGGAGTACGGGAGCTCGACAGGATGTTGTTACTAATGTCGGAACTTGATTAAGAAACCTTGGTCCCATAACCCCAGAATATGAGGGATCCGTCTGAAGAACCATAATGAAAGACCCAAAGCTTCTTAATCAGGTTCCTCTATGACTAATGTAGGGGCCTTAATAATTAGAATAGGTTTTTGCGGGTTCCTTACTATAGATATAGCATAAAGGGCCCCAAAACCCCATTCTGATTCTTAAGGCCCCCAAATAAAGGGCCCCCACCCCCTCCCCAGCCCAGCGGCAGGCCTCCATCGAAAGGCTCTCGACGGCAGGGGCCTGGAAGGCCAAGCGACCCGAAGGTTTCGCGGAGATCCGAGAGCCACGGCTTTAGGGTTTTAGGTCTAGGGCTTTTGACGGTTCCGGGTTTAGGCCCGGGCTTTGGGGCTGAAGGTCTCGGGCTTTTTGCGGTTCAGGGTTTGGGGTTTTGGGGTTTAAGGTTTAGGGTTTTTTACGGTTCAGAGTTTAGGGTCTGTGGGTTTAGGGTTTTTCGCGGTTCAGGGTTTCGGGTCTGGGGGTTTAGGGGTTTTTACGGTTTAGGGTTTAGGTTCACGACGATTCCTTCAATTGCACGTGGCGACTGCAGGCCTCCACCCCACGTGGCAAAATCCTAGTTGACCCCTTCATGCATCAGTCTTCTATGCATGTATGTGCATGTACGCAGCTAGGTGTGTACGTACCTGGGCATGTATGCAATGTGTATTTACGTGTCACTGCATTTTCTGCTGTTCATATGTAGTCATACATCTATGTTCTTTACATAGATGTAACTATATGTAAATACACAAATACACATACATCTATACATCTCTTTATGTATGTGTGTATATATATATATATGTGTATATATATATATATATATATACATATATATATATATACACGAACTAATACATATCTCATGGTTTCTGAATTGTAACACATCATTTGAAGGCTCTTTGCCGAACCCTGGGAGCCGGGCCGACCCTGGGGCCGGACAGGAGCCCTCCGCCTGAAGGAGGGAAGTGTCGGCTTCGAGACAGAGGAAGAGGAGTTTTTAGGGTTTTTAGGGTTTTTAGGGTTCAGGGTTTAGGGTTTAGGATTTCTAGGGTTTAGGATTTTTAGGATTTAGGATTCAGCTGGTTCAGGGTTTGGGTTCAGGGTTCAGCTGCTTCAGGGTTTTGGGTTCAGCTGGTCTAGGGTTCAGGGTTTAGGGCTCGGCAGGTTCAGGGTTTTAGGGTGTAGGGTTTAGGGCTTCAGGGTTTTAGGGCTTTTTAGGGTTTAGGGCTTCAGGGCTTTAGGGTTAGGGTTTAGGGGTTGGGGTTTGGCGTTTTCGGTTTGGGATTTTCGGTTTCAGGGCTCAAAGCTTGGGGGCTTGGGTTTGAGGGCTTCGAGGGTTTCGGGGTCTGGGGGATTCGGGGGTTTGGGCTTCGAGGGATGCTGCAGTTGCCGACTCTTGGGATTGAAGGCCCAGGATCCGCAGGTCTTTGAGAAATTCTCTGGGGGCTCGGGCTGCGTCTCTGCCTGTCCGGGGCCTTGCTCATGAAGGAAGCATGAAGTCAGGGGACTGAACTTACCACATGAAAGACCCTGTAGCAACTCTCTAAGCACTTGTAGAAGCCTTAAACAAGTTGCTATTCTATTTATTGAGGCTCCTACATTACAGAACCCTGCCTCCGGATTGTCAATCCAGTTGGCAAAAACGTCGAAGAGGGGCACGATCGGGGAGGCGGCACCTCAAGCGGGAAGCTGTGCTCTACGGGGTTTCGGGGTCTCCTGCGTGGTAGAGATTCAGAAGCCCTCTTCGACGAGCGTGTTCCAGGCTTCCCGACGTGAGTCCTCAGGAACAGGGACGCCTTCATTAGGAAGAGTTGAAGGGCCGGGACACGCAGCTCCTGTCCACCGTCCTCATGCAGGTCTAGACTCTAGACAGGACTCCGTTTCGAACATTCGACCCAACAGAAGCCCTCAAATGTGCCCAAACCATACAGTCGCCGATCCCCAAAGAGTCAGGGGCGAAGATCTCCCCGTTGTGGCCGGGGCAGGCACCCGAGTCGTCGAAAGGCACCGCCTCAGCGCAAATGGACCGCATCGAAACCCTCCCAGCTTAGGGCTTATCTTTATACACATACATCCATATCAAAAAAGTATTATATTTCCATTTTGATAGAGAGAGGGAAGGAGGGAGGGAGGGAGGGAGGGAGGGAGGACAGAGCGAGAGAGAGAGAGAGAGAGAAAAGAGAACGAGCTAAAGAGAGGGGGAGAAAGAGAGAAAGAGAGACAAAGAGAAAGAAAGAAAGAGAGAAAGAGAGTTGTTTTGAGATTTTCAGGCTGTCCGTTGCTCTGTTCTTTTCGGATCTCCGCTTATGGAAACCAACGCTGGCTTGGGTACTTAGTTGCTCTGAGCCTTGCCTATCCAGAGGCACTCAAAGCCCAAACCAAACCAAGAACTCACAAGATGTGCTTGATAAAGCCGTCTAGCCAAGACGAAACACAAAAAAAACGACGCAAAGGTGAAGCTGCAGTTAAGGTGCCGCCACTGGAAGCCGCCGGCCGTCCCAGCCGGCGAGCCTGGGATTACGGGCTTACAGGATTCGGCTGACGGTTTTAAGCATTGTGCCGTAACGGTTTAGGGCTTAGGGTTGAAGGTTTAAAGCACTGAAATGTTTAGGGTTCAAAGCCCACTCATCTCGGCGACTGCCCCAAGCCTTAGCGCCGGCCTCCGGCGAAGACCCCGCATTCCGTGAGAATCAGAACAGAGTCTGGGGGCATGCAGTCGAGTTGTTGCGACTATGAGGCGACGGCTCTACCAATTGGTTCTCCCCAGCTGTTTGGGCCAGACAACAAACTGAGAAGTTTCCAGAGGAGAAGCTGCCTCCATGACTGGGCAGCCGGGCAGGAGGCACCACCGGTCTTCAGTAGTCGCCAAGCCTGAGGAAGCGTCTTTTGGGGGTTGTTCCAGGGTTGAGGTTGAGGGCCTTTGGGCCTAGAGCCTTGGTTTTGGCGCTTTGGGCTTGGGCCTCAGCTCCAGATAAATCTTACTCATGACTCATGGCACTTCGAATTATGATGCAGGCCCCTTGACACACGTGGCAAGGGCAGAATGGTGCGGCGGAAGGCTCCACTGGCCTGCTACACTGCACCGTAACTTTTCAAACCCTACGCCCTAAACCTGTCTAAACATCCGATTTCGTCTCGAAAACCTGGGGCCAGGGCCTGCTGCGAGCCCGCCGCAGCGCACCACGGCCCCCGTCAGCTTCCGCAGCTGCCTTAAAGGGTTCGTGAGAGGCTTGGTCGAGAGCTTCAGAAAGACTTGTGTAGGGCTTCAGGGTTTAGGAACTTCACGGTTTCGAGCTTGGGCTTAGCGGTTCTCCGGTTTCGAGCCGTCCGAGGCGAAGCCGGCTGCAGATAAACATTTTGCAGTCTTCTGCTCTTTTGAGTGCAGAGCCCCATCTCCAGCATCTGGAAGGAAGCAATCTCCTGCGCTGGAGGTGTTCTGACTAAATATGCTGTGCTGGAAGGTTCAGGGATTTCTTCGGCTTGCAGCATAGCTTGCGCGACTGAGCATGTCTATGAGCGCGATGAGCGCCATGTCTACAAAGGTCATTCAAAGCCATAATAGTAATATGATAGTCATGATAACCCTACCGATAAACAGATCTATGTTGATGGTGCTGCTGCAGTTGCTGACGTTGCTGACGTTGCTGCCGTTGCTGCTGTTGCTGCTGTTGCTGCTGTTGCTGCTGTTGCTTGCTGCTTGCTGCTGTTGCTTGCGTTGTTGTCGCGCTTACTGATGCTGCTGATGGTCTTTCGGTTGGTGCTGCTGCTGGGGAGAGGCATCGACTTTGTCAGCTGATTTTAGAATTTTAGAGCCATTTGACGCCGAGGACACTCGGCTCCAAACTATGCCTTAACGAGAAGGCTCCCAAGCAAAGGCGCAACATGCGTTGTGCAGGTCACGGTCTACAAAAAACCGGCTTCTGCTGAGGAGCAGGAGCAGGCAACCTCCATGGTGACAGGGTATGGGGCAAACAGCAAATATTAGTGTAACTGTGTCTTAAGCGTCAATGACGCGCGACACAGGAGGGTTCTAGGAGCTTTAGATGGCCGGTCCATGCTACAGCATGGCCTGGCTAGACATGTAGTTTTTCTAACATCTAAGGTGTCCTTCCTGTCAGGGGGTATCGAAAATGCATTTGGTGTCCGGGGTTTGCATCGGGGGATTTGTGTTTGAGATTTTTGGCATAGCCATCCGCCACTCCCTGCACAATCATCTTCGCAATCATCATCGACACCATCAGCACCAACTGACTTGGTGCCTCCTTGGGTTCCTTTCCTCAGCACTTGGACATCTGAGGCACGACTTCGGGACGAGCGAACTCCTAGGCACGAGGGCCGTTAGGGTTTGGGTGTCTAGAGCTAGGGCCTCGGGTTTAGGGTTTAGGGCTCAGGGTTCATGTAAGGGCTTAGGAAACCGAAATATTACCCGGAAGTCAAAGCTCTAAACCGCCAAGCCTACACCCTAAGCTGCCTGGCCTCGGCTGGCTCAGACCCAGCCGGAAGCAATCGGAGGCTCAGCCGCGACCCGACCTCGCATTCTCTCCGGGCTGTTCGGTGATCCCTCTGAATTACTTCTCCTAAAGTGTCGGTAATGTACTGCTACTTCTGCTACTTCTACTCTTATTAGTATATAAAATGACGATGATGATGATGATGGTGGTGAAGATCATGACGATGATCGCGAGCATGATGATGATGACGATGCTGGCGATGATGATGATGATGATGATGATGATGATGATGATGAGGATGAGGATGAGGATGAGGATGAGGATGAGGATGAGGATGAGGATGAGGATGATGGTGAAGATGATGGTGAAGATGATGGTGATGATGATGATGATGGTGGTGATGATGATGATTCTTGTTGTTTCTGGAGGCACTCTTACAATTACTCTCAGCAGCTGTGCGTTTTGCAACAATCATTCTGCATACTGTACGTCAGCTTTCAGTATGATCGTAACACCCTGGACCCTGAACTCTTAGGCCCTAAGCTCCGAACCCGAAACTCCAAGCCATAAACCCCAAAACCCCTACCCTCAACCCTAAACCCCTAAAACTCTAAAACCCAAACCGAAAATGCTGGGGCACCGGGCCGCGCGGGCCAGGAAGCAGGAGGTCCGCACCTGCAGAAAGATGTAGATACGGATATAGGTATGGATGTGGGTAATTAGATGAGGGTGGTAATGAAGATTCAGGTCTAGATTTAGATACTGATATGGCTGCATGCGAATATTTATATCGACAATCAAATTGATCTTGATACACGTGTATATATATATACACATAATAGATCTGGCGCCTCCTTGGGAGGGCAGATGGTGGCAGAAGCCACGGGCAACCTGGGAGCAGGGTCTAACATAGTAAAGCAGAGTATGACATAGTGTAGCATAGTATAGCACAGTATAACATAGCATGGCAAGGTCCAGCATAGTGTATAGCCTAGTGTCTAGTCTAGCCTAGTGTACTTCGAACATCCAGCATCAGAGCCGTGACACTGCTCGTCTCCTCGGTCCTCTGCACGCAATGCCTGGCGGAAAGGGAAAGCTTCTTGAGAACTGCAAGCCGGCTGGGGATCGTCGGGTATGTAACATAACATATCTGTATGTATGTACGCATACATATATGTATATTCTTGCATGTCCATGGCTGCGTCAGATCTTGACTCATTGCCCGAAAATGGAAATGGAATGTATATATTATACATGTGTTAATACATACCTGTTGCAATTGTATAGCATATAGTGTATAACGTATGTATACAACATATAGTCCATCATATATAGTACATAATAATATGGAGTGTATCATATATGTACTATATTATAATAGGTCATATTTAGTACAATAAGTAGAGTCACGCATATTATGAGCGAGCAGTTTGAGAGGCGTGGGGGTCCAAGGGAAACCGACCGCGAAGGGCCTCTGCACAAGTGATCAAGACTGGAAATCGACAAGGATGCCAACACTGACTCGCAATAAAGACTGTCAATACCGAGACAAAAAGACCCTCCGCCAAAACGACGTCCAAACTGCAGCGTGGCAAAACTCGAGTTTCGAGGCCTGGAATCACCCTTCACTAGGGTCACCGGCAGCAGCAGCAACTAGGGTCACCGGCAGCAGCAGCAGCAGCAACCACCACCACCAGACGAGAGCAAGACGACTTAGCAGAACAAAGAGGACGACAATGGGCGCCACAACGGGGCACAATCAGACGGGCCAGGACCCAGCCGGCCTCGAACCTCTGCAGCTGGTGTGCAAAGGCTGAGACCTCGCGCGACTAGCAAGGCAAATCCGCCTTTGTGTTTTGATGGCCGATCTGTTTCTGATACTAGTAGCAAGTAGAGTGCTCATCAGGACGAAGGACTTTACTGGTCGTCGGAGCACCACTGCGGAGATGCTGTTGATGCTGATGATGATGATGTCTTTTGTCTTTGTGGTCGCAGCGTCTGTGTAACGCCTTGCGAGGCCAGAGCAGGACAGGCAATTTGGTAATCGCCCGGAATACAGCTGTACTTAGTACATCCTGACCATCCCAGCAACATGCGCGCCGTAGCGCAGCCATGCTACTGGGAGCGGAGCAAACAATTAAAAAGTAAAAGGGCGTTCGATCCGTAGATCAGCAACTATGTGGTGGCTACATGTAAGGGTCCTGTCGTACGCAGCCGGACCAAAACATGAATCCCAGCGATCTCAGCAGCTCCTGTCTCGACTCACAAACTCTCCAGCCATCCCTGATGTGGTAAGAGACCATCACCGTTCGATGACCACCCTGCCAGGGTTGCGTAGCATGCTCTTTGGTAGCATCGAAGAGAAAGTACTTCCCAATCGGATGGATTGTGCCAGACTCGCCATTTAGCAAGTCCTGACCAGCCTCATCACGCAGCCAGATGCCACCCCCAGTCGTCCATTGGGAGAGCGGGGTGATCGCATTGTCAACCGCTCGGTGGTTATGAGATGATGATGATGATGATGATGGTCATCATCATCATCACAGTCATCAGCATCATCCTCATGGTAGTGATGGCGGTGAGGATTACGATAGTGTGGAACTCTTGATGGCGATGGTAACAGAACCGTCAGCAATCGCGCCTCAGGTGGCTCAATACCGTTGATGATGATGATGATGATGATGATGATGATGATGATGGAGGCGTACTATCCTTCTGCTGCTGTTATTGCTGCTACCAACTGACTAACTACCGCGGCTACGACTGCCACTGCTTCTACAACGACGACGACAATGGGGAGGAGGACGGTGACGAGCTTCGACGAAGACGACGTCGACGACTGAGGCTACAGCTATTACCCTTGCCATGACTACCGCCACTTGTTTCGTCTCATGTCCAATCTCATGGGCCCCGGGCACTCCAGATTGAGGAGCCGTGGTCGGTGGCCAAAAATATCCTCGCACCTCGCACCGGAAGCAACTGATTGCTTCCTAGCGCTCCGCGCCGGCTTTAAACACTACGCCTCCAAGCCCTCAAAGAGCCGCTAGAATTACTGCCTGCGCCTTCATGGCTACGATTCATACAGGGGCCCTAATGATTAGAATAGGGTTTTGGGGTATACTACACCCCAATTATAATAAGGAACCCCTTAAATAGTATAGTATCTTGGTGTGCCGGGAAACCTCGGCCGCCAACCTCACCTCAGCCTTCTGGGCCTAGAAAGCCACCAACAACGAGCCTCCTGGATTAGGGCTTTCGGATTTTGTCAAGGGCTTCCGGCGCCCGAACCCTACCTTGAAAGCTTTACTTGCTTGGGATTTGGGATTGGAGCTCAACATTGAGTGAACTGAGCAGAGCTCAGCCTAGTTCCACTAATCACGGCCAACTCGGCCGTAATGCTGGGCCCCTCTGCCAAAACCTAACTGGGCCTTGCGGCCCCGAACCCTGAACCCCCTAAACCCCTAACCCGGAAATCCTCATTAACACCACGCTGTACTCCAGCCTTCGTCGTCATGGTGGCACGACCTCAGAGATGGGACACGGCGCCCAAAACCCCTCAAAGCAGAAACCCCTTCCAAACAACCCACTTCCACAGCCCGCAAAACCAAATGTAGTTAAGTGAGGATTCTACATTCGAAGCAATGAAACCCCATGAAATCAAACAAGAATTCCAAATCGGTACCCCATTCTTTCCCTGTCTGGCTCCTTCCTGTTCTTGGAACCGGGTGCCTCCGATGTAGCCCGCAGGATGTAGTTTCGGGTTGCACGGGTTTAGTATCTTGTGAAACTGCCACAATAGAAGCCATGCGGAACCAACAAACCCTCACGCCTAGTTACGTCTGGACCCTGCGGCTAAGGGCGGGAACCCTCAACCCAAACCAATCTGTCTCATGTTCTGGGCGCCCCTCTTTTGCAAAAAGGCCCCCAGCAAACAAAGAAGACCCAGAAAAACCGCTTTGAGGCCGGCACAGGGACTCTGCATGCTGCGCAAGGTCCGAGGGCCAGCCCTGACATTCGAAGCTTACATCACATCCGGCACCTCTTTAAAGGTGGGATGAAGGTACGTGGGATCAAGGATCTCCACCCTGGTTCGCGAATCCCCCACCTACCTTCATACCACCTCCGGAGCACTTTCATATCAGGGGCTTTCGTGCCCACTAAACTTTGCACAGTCAGGACTCAGTCTCGATTCCCCACGCTGGCGCTTGGGATTTCCTTAGAGCTTCGGCATGGCTCTGGATGCGACACCCTTAGCCCAGGCCCTGAGTGTCCTGAGAAGGTGAAAGTCGCGTCCGTTTCAGGCGCTCCCCGAAGTTTGCAAGAGAGGTGAGCAGGCGAGATGACCTCCCAGAGCACCCCCCAAAATCCCTGTTAAACTCTCACCACTCCCTCCACCCTGCACACCAGAATCCTGGAATCTGAAAGCCCGAAATCATGCGGAAACCCCAGCTCCCAAACCCCCCCGCGGGCCCGCACCGACATGTTGAAGGGCTCAAAGTCCCAGGCAGCCTCGCGAAGCCTCCCGAGACATGGGCGGTGTTAAAGGCCGAAAACTAAAACCCAAAAAGCTACAAAAAACACGAAACAAGAAACTGTACCTGAACGCAAGCAAAGTGAACACCTAAACCTGCAAGACTTCAAAGGAAGAGAATAAAAAAACGGAACCCCTAAAATCTGAAGCATCGACCCAAACACCGCGCTCTTTTAGTGTGGCCTTCTCTCCTCCGACTTCTCCTCCGCTTCCTCCTCCTTCAGCCGGTTTTTTTAGGGTTTGGGATTAGGGTTTAGGGTCTAGGGTTCAGGGTTCAGGGTTTAGAGTTCAAGCTTTAGAGTTCAGGCTTTAGGGTTCAGGGCTTAGGGTTTAGTAGTTAACGCTTTCGGGTTATAACACACACAGGCTTTGGGTCCTTCAGCTTCATCACCAGCATGTCGTACTTCGGCCTAAGGAAGGCCCGGAATTCAAGTGTTTGTGGTGTTGAGACTTGGAGTGTAGGGGTTTGGGGTAAAGCGTCTTGGGGTTAAGCATGTGCTGATTTTGACATGGTTTTTGGTCTAGGGATTTAGCGAACTAAGGGTTTACGGGCTTGGGGGGTTGGGCTTGAGGGTCTAGGAGTCTGTCGTGAAACTTCGCACTCCTTGAGGCACAGTTCGCTTTGCTGACTTCCTCGGATTCCAAGTTCCTATCGGCGTCCTGGCCAGCCTTCCTTCAAACAGGAAAGCGAAGGATGCACGTGAAGTTCTTGAGGAAGTTGGGTTGCGCAGGAAGGGGGTACATGACCGGATCGTGTCCTTGCTTTCCGCGTCGGTGCTTGATGCCATTAATCTTGCGGCCAGAAGTGGTAGTGGTTCCACTTGTCGTGGTCGTGGTCTTGATGATGGTCGTTGAGAGATACCAGTAGCAGCAGTAGGAGGAAGAGTACTAGGAGTGGGAGTGGATTTGGGTTTGAAGCCGGAGTAGGAGGAGGAGTAGGAGTAGGAGAGTAGGAATAGGAGAATTGGGAGTGGGAGTGGGAGTGGGAGCCGGAGTAGTGGTAGTGGTGGTAGCAGCGGTGGAGGAAAAGCAGGACAACGACGACGACGACGACGACGACGACGACGACGACGACGACGACGACGACGACGACGCCCCGCCGACGACGACGACGACGACGGCGACCATTACTATTGCACTACTCCCCTGTCACTACTACTTCTCCTAGAAAATCACGATGCTGCAAGACGACCATTACACAGCACGCAGTAGTCGGTACCGATTTGTCAATGAATTAGCATTAGTCGTACTTGATACCAAGACTAAGACTTCACACACCAGCAGAAGACCCACGTGCCGAAAGCCCTAAATCACGGCAACCACTGGGGCAGCCGCAAAACGCCGGTGTTCTGAAGCAGGAAGGAGACGCCCAACCCAAACCTGAGCAGACTTTCGAAAGCAGTCGCCACATGAAAAAAAGGCGTCAGCTTTGGGGTTGGGCATGCCGACCTTCTTCAGTTCAATCTCCGGGTTGTCAGAATACGACTATGGACTAGCTGCCATTTGATACCATAACGGAACATGGCGTCTATGCATCATTGAGGCCCTTTGTACGACTGGTGCTTCCATGCTTGGGCTCAGGCTCCGAGTCAACTCTCTTCATGTGAGGTAGACCGATTATCAATGAGTCCCCTCCCCAACCCAAAGGCCCAGAACCAAAGGAGGCTTCCTCATCAGCGGTCTGCATTGCTCATGTTTCCAGCCCTCGCGGTGCGCGAAAGCTGTCTGCAAGTCAAAACTTCTTAGCTGGACAGCAGACAGGTTCTGGCCTCTGGAAGCTCTAAACCGCGTCCACAAGACATCCAGCTGGAGTTGACTCTTCTGGTCTTAAACAGGGGCACTTCCCATCACGTCATGGCCTCCAATGAGGATTAGTGTTGCTGCAAGGTTTATGCAGCTGCCCGCATGACTTGCGAAGTCCCGGCGTGCATGGTCACCTCGCCAATCTCTTGTTGGAGGGCCCTTGAATTTGAAAACTGACAGCACCTGAGTGTCACGAGAGCGCCCTGGAAGACAGCTGGGCTCTCAAACACTGAGTACAGGCACTCCCCGCTAACTCGTAACTCGTACTCATACATGCACCGGCTTTTGTGGGTAAGAGTCCTCCAGCGCCGGGTCCTGGCCACTGAAGGCATAAGCCTTCGGCGGAGAGTGCGAATGCATGTCGTAGCCGATCTTCTCAGTATGGTCGTCAATGCGAAGGAGCCCCGAAAATCTCAGGGCCAGGAAGGACAGCGTGGACAGCGTCCCGGCCCAGGCGATGATGGCCACAATCATCACAAGCTGTGCTGCGATGGCGGAGCCTCCGATGCCCTTGGTGCACGCACCATCGTCACCCGTCATGCAGCCGAAACCGCTCCAGCCGTGATAGTGGTCAAAGCCCTTGCCCCAATCGAAGAGGGCAGCGGCAAGAAGCCCCCAGACGCCACAGGCTCCGTGCACTGCGCTGGCATCCACGGGGTCATCGATCTTCAATCTCACAAGGAGACTTGATGCCGCCTGGTAGAAAAAAGCCCCAATGAAGCCGGTGAGAACAGCGCTGCCGCACTCCATGTTGCCGCACCCCGCAGTGATGGACACCAAGCCCGAAAGAATGCCGTTACAGAGCGCGCCGACGTCATACTTGCGCGTGAGCACGAACTTCAGCAGGAACACGGAGATCCCGCAGGTGCCTGCTGAAAGAGTAGTGTTCATGGCCACTTGTGCCGCAAGGGCACCCATCTCCTTGTCGTGCATCGAGAGAGTGGAGCCTGGGTTGAAGCCATACCAGCCGAACCAAAGCGCAAAGGTGCCGAGCACGATCCTTGGCGGTTCTGTCTTGTGACACCTTATGCTGAAAAGGCTACATACGTTCATGTCATTCACGCACAAAAAACATGCACATCGGAATTCACCGATATACATACATATATATATATATACATCGACATAAACATAGACATCTACATCTACCTCTACCGCTACCTCTACCTCTACATATACATATACATAGACACATACATATACAAACATAATTTATTTATTTATTTATATATATACATACATATATATATATATACAAATAGATATACGCATAGCATTCAGACAAAGATAAAGACACGGGCATGGACGTAGACACAGGCATAGACATCCGCATCTACATCTGCAATGTGCATGCACATGCACGTGTACATCAATGTATACATCAAACAGGTCGCAGTGGGATGTTGTGGTACTCGAACTCCTCGGGATTCTCGAAGCGTCCCTTCCGCGGGCCGAGGATGACCGTGCCAGCGAGGCCGCAGACGCCTCCGGTGAAATGGACAACACCTGCAGGAGCCGATAGAAGCACACACAGAGAAGCCGTTTGATGAAATACATAAATATTCCTACGAGGGGTGTGTTTCAATAGGTTTTGTTTTGGTCCGCCTGATCCCGCAAAATCCATGTATCCCACGTCGAAGATGCTGGCGAGCCAGCCACCACCCCAGGTCCAAGCCACAATTACTGGGTAAATAAAGCTGGTCATGCAGAAGGCGAACACAGCATAGGTGGGACTCTTGACACGCTCCGCCACACATCCGCTCACGATGGTGGCGCCTACGCTCAAAGACGAATGCACGCTGGTCATCTCGGGAATCTATACGGCTTAAACACGTGCATGAAAACCTACGGTCACATCTCGACAGAAGGACATGGCGACAACTCAGGTCGGAGCCAGCTGTGCAGAAGGCCTCACTAGGAAACAAGAGAAAGGAGATACTGTTTGCAGAATAGATATTTACAAGCGACCAAAACCAAAAAGAAAACGTTAAAAGTGATACCACTGAACATCCCAGACGCCCACTGAAAGAACCAGCTCAGCATCGTAGACTGGCAGTTCCCGTCCTCACACTCCACCGGGATGATAATACCCGATGCATCTTTCGTGTAGAAGCCCAGGCCGAAGAAGCCATCCGTGCCAATGAAAGACCCAGCTTGGGAGCCATAGGCAAAGGCCCAGCCAAAGATCCACCAACCCAATGTGCCAACCTGGGTTGTAGTTTTAGGGCTCTGCAAAGTTTTCATGACTTAGTACTCCCCATAGGAACCATAAATTTCCCACGGTGCCACCTGGGAACACTCACGTTGACAAGATTCTTCATCAGGACATTCGAGGCATTCTTGGCACGGCAGCAGCCAGTCTCCAACATCGCAAACCCGGCATGCATGAACATAACCAGCGCTCCACAAAGGACCAGCCAAGCCGAGTCCATGGCGCCCGCCATACTCTCCTGGGTTTCGGTCATCTGCTTCAGCTGCTTGCGCTGCTCTTCCAACAATTCTCGCTGGGCCTGCAGTTCGCGAAGAAGCTCAGCAGGAGAGTCCTGCGACATCGCCGTCGCGGTGAAGGCGACAGCAAGAGCTGCTGCGAGGCAAACCTTCATCCTCACGAAACCCGGTGATCACGATGCGCTTCCTAAGTGCCGCTGTGTGCGAAAATCGCTGCAGCCGCGAGGATGAGATAAGGGTTCAAGCACTGGACAAGGCGCGCCGCTCTCTGTCGAGGCTTCAGACGGGTGTCGCAAACCATGGCCCAACAAACCGTCAACTAACGCCGCAGCCTGAACGTCAAAGAACCCCAAATGCCCAAAGAACCACTCTGAGGCCCAGGACCAGCTCACTTGCTTCACCTCGGCAGGTCCATCTTACGATCTGAGTTTTTCTTATGTTTTTTTGAGTTTTCGGGCTTAGGGGTGCAGGGGTATCGGGTTTCTAGGATTTAGAAGTTTGGGAGTTTAAGTTTTCGAGATTAGGGTTTAGGGTTACATAAGGCCGGCTCCTAGAGAGGCCTAAGCGGAACCGCTTGCTCGGCCACATTCTTGGACTATCTTCTGATGATAACAAGGCAAGGACTCTATTCAAAGCAGAAGCTCATCAACCTTCCTTCAGCACCCTCCCTCCGAGCGAGTCAACCCGGAGACGAGTTCTAAAGCGAAGCCTGCCTTCGAATCCTCCTCCTCACAGAGCCCCGGGCCCGTGTCACGGAGAGCAGCACTCGCCACGGGAGCCGGCGCTCTCGCTCCCTCGACTCAAGAACGGCTCAGGCATGCGAAGCCGAAAAGGACCCGGAAAATACATCGTACCTGCACCTCCTTGTACGCCCTTCATACCCTGTTGCTTGCAGAACATGCGCGAGAGAGGGGGGAAACAAGGACCAACAGGCAAGGACCAGGAGGCGGACAGATGCATGCAGATGCATATCTAAATAGACATATTTTCCATGTTGAATCAGCTGACGAGAAGAAAACAACATCTGCACGCACGATGAGGAGCAGTTACTACTCGCACTGTCATTTTACGGATGCCGATATTTCGGCTCTACCGTCGCCACTTGCCCGACGGCTACAGCTGACGATGATCACTGATCACTGTTGATATTGCTATACCTGATTTCGCATGAAGAGAGACAGAAATCATGATCATGTTCTTCTAGATGGTATTGGCAAGCAACACTCCAGAAAAACAGTCAGGGGGATTACGTTAGTTTGGACCTTTGGGGCTGAGATTACGGTCAAAGCTGTGAGTGTACAGTTGAGGTGAGGCCTGAGCGCTGTGGCAGTTGTGCTAGTATCGGAACGCTCGGGAATCGCATTATCTCCTTCGGGATGTCTGTGACTTCGGACACCTTGGGGGAGCCAGTGTGGTCTGCAAAGGCTCCGTTCGGGAAAGACTTGCTACAAGCAGCGCAGCTTCGAGTTGTGCTCTAAGAGCAGAGTCAAAAAATGTCGCGGGGGCTCTCCGGGCTCCCGGGCATCTCCCCACGTCTCCGGCACCAGCAGCGGCAGCAGGAGCGCAGCTCTTCCATGCACTGCGCAGGGGAGCGAAGAAGCGAAGCGAGCCATCTTGAAGCCCCCGAAACCGGAATCCCGAACCGCCCTAGCCCGGTGTCGCAGCAACAGAGGCACCTCGTTCTCGGCTACGTCGGTTTGGTCGGAGCCTGAAAGATGACGGAGGAGAAACAAGTCGGTTGCGTCGTTCATGGTGGGAATCAACTGCTACATGAAAGCTGGAGGTTTCTAAGGCTTGCTTCAGCGGAGCTAAGCCTTGGCAGGATGCCGTCACCTAGACTTGCATAATGCAACCCCACCAGTGATCCTGAATAGAAGAACATCAGCTCCTATCTTTCCAAGCCTCCGCCCCACATCTCAACAACCGTTCGCCACAAGCCCGGGAAACCTAAACTGCCACCGGGTCGCCATCGCTCATGTGCTCCAGCTGCGGCGTTCGAAAGTCGCTCCTGACTCCAAAGGCTTTCAAATTTAGCGGCTGTGCTGCCCAAACAAAAGCGATCTGGTGTCTGAAGGCTGAATGAAACCTCATGCGTGCCTGAAGAAGAAACATAGAGGATACGTTGCGTGTTTGAGCTCTGGTTCCGATTACGCGTGCAAAATTTAAGCTGCCCTGTCCGGCAACTCCCCTAAGCCGAAGCCCCTAATCTTCAACACCAAGACCGAAAGCCCCAAACCCAGACTCAGGTTCTAAAAACCTGATCAACCTGTACGTCTCCTCGTAAACCCAAACCGTTCCGATGAAGAAACCGAAGAAAAATCTGTGAAATTCAGAAGCGTTGAAATACCGACCAAAAGACTCCAAGAAACGCACGAGAACAATGCCAAAATCCTCTAAGACCCGATGAGAGAACAAAGCACACACAAAGACAAACAAAACCAATTATGCAATCTCCCCTTCCGCGCCTGCCGGGGAAGAGCTCCCGGACCCGGGCCTCTGCGGTCTCTACCAGCGATCGAACCTGGCAGAATTTCAGCCTTGTGATTTCAGTACGGTTTTGTGGTGCACAAAAGTGCAGTTGTACACGAAGTTAGGTCATGGCGGTTGGGGGTTTAGGGTATCGGGGTTAAGTTTTAAACAGAATCGCCTTGGGTTGAGGGTTGGGGGTAGTCAGGTTCAGGGTCCACACTCCTCCTACTCCTCCTGCTCCTACTTCTACTCCTACT